CTACTTATAGAGTTTCTTCAAGGTGAGATGTGTAGGCAGTGACGAAAACTTCACTGCATTTCGGACATGTTCTAGAAGCTTCAAGGCTTTTGTTAGCGCCGTCAGATTGGCAGATCTAAAGAAGAATGCTGATGGACAAGAAAGTCTGGTGTTTGCTACTTTAGCTGGTGACCTGGTAGTCCGAGGACTAATATTACTATCAGTTGTTATGACATTTTTTAATTTTTTTATTTTTTTTGTTGGTTCTTGTATTTGAAATAGAGAGTTTATTTGCATTGATGACTTATTCTTAACTCAGCAACTCTCCAATGACCATATGAAGATTTCTAGAGTGTGAGAAATATGAAATATTTTTGTGTAACATACACCGTTTGATTTGTGTGAATGTTTTGTTTTTGCACAATGATTGTGGACTATCATTTTGTAAGATTTTACTATATGAATGGGAGTTATTATTTTATATTAGTACTATTTTAGTTTTATTATAGGTATTTTTTAAAAAAATTAGCACATTTTTTTTTAAAAAAAAGGGGGCTATCACGGCGTTTTTAAAAACGTCGCTAAATAGTTGGGAAAAAGAGATGTAGTGACGTTTTAAAAACGTCGCTAAATAGTATGGTGACGGCATGTTACAATTAGTAGAATTTTTAGCGGCGTTTTATAAAACGCCGCCTATAGTAATATAGTGACGTTTCTAAAGCGCCATAGAGTTATAGCGACGGCCGCATCTTCGACGTTTAGTGCTAAACGCCACAAAAAGATTTGACGGCGTTTTTAGGACTTATAGCGGCGTTTTTCAAACGCCTCTAAAACCCTGATTTCCAGCAGTGTGCATTATGAGAGTATTGTTGTCAACCTCATTAATCCCTACAAGACATCTACGAATGAGATTTTATACTCCAACTGTTGTGTGGAAGTCACATCCATCTAGTATTTTAACCATGTGATCTTTGCCTTTCCATGCAAAGAAACAAACAATATCAAGGAATAAATCTTTGTCATGATCATCCAAACAATCATAGCTTATTTGAAGTACATTGTGTAATTTGACATTTGAAAATCTTCCCAACTTTGTCAATGCACTTTCCCATACATCAACATTTTCACCAGAGAGAGAACTACCCAAGACTTCCAGAGCTAATGGAAGACCATTGCAGTAGTATGTTGCCTTTTTTGACTGCTCGACATAAGGTTCAACAGGATGGTCTTGTCCAAAAGCATGCCGACAGAAGAGACAAAGTGCTTCAACGTCACTCAATTCCTTAACTTTGTACATCTCACACCGTTCATGAGCCTTTAAGATTCGCTCCCGTCTGGTTGTTATGATAATTTTACTTCCTAGATGAAGCCAATCTCGCATCCCAAGTATTGCATTTAATTGGTCCAGTTCATCAACATCGTCAAGAACAACAAGAACTCTTTTACAGCACATTGCATCTTTAATCTTAATGATTCCCTCATCAACATTGTGTATCCTTTCCTTTTTCCGCTTGAGAATGTTTGAAAGAAGTTGTTTTTGTAGACAAAGCAAACCATTGGGTTGTGTTGAAGATTCTCTAATATCTTCAAGAAAACTGCTACTTTCAAATCTGTCAAAGTTTTGGTTATAAACAATTTTGGCAAGGGTTGTCTTCCCTATTCCACCCATTCCATAAATAACCATTATGCCAATATTGTTTGAGCCATCTTGAAGCCACAGATTAATGTCATTCACACGAGAATCTATTCCAGTTGGGTAGGGGGTGATGCTCAATACTGTTCGATCCAATTTGTTTGCAATCTCTTGAACAATTATCTTGATAAACTTTGACTCGTACCTACAAATTGTGAACAAAATGGAAACAATTATCTGAGTGTGTCATTACTAAAATGTGACCAAAAGCAACTAATAAGATGATCTTTGGAAGGAACAAGAAGGAAGTTGGCATGGGTGGATTGCATTTATACAAAGCTAGAGTGTGCCATATGTGCAATAAGCCTGGAGCATGCACATGCACTTGATCAAAATGAAAGATTGAATGATGGAACTGTTGGGTCAGGAAGCCTAGATTGATGTAAACAAATACACACAAGAGAGAAACACAGAGTTTACATGGTTCGGCAATTGCGCTCACCAAAGCAAAATAGGACACAAGAGTACATGGCAAACATAGTTTCCAACTCAACCACAATATTAGCCTTATGGCTATGTAGTTGATGATTTATAATATTTCTTTAATGTTGTCTGCGCATTATGGATTTAGGTGGATTATTTAATTATATTTCACTTATTTTTTTTCCTATCTAAATTCATGATCCAAACACATTTATCCATACTTTGTTTTTCTTTTTCAAATCGCTATCAAATTCGTAATTCAAAAACAACCTAAAAGAGAATTCTCTTATTTGTGATTGTTCTTATTGTTCAATTATCAGATTTACACTTCCTGCATCACCCTAGGTAGCAAGAGGCACTTCATTTGTAATTTTATTATAGATCAGAAAAAGGATGCAAGTATTTGATTTTGATCCATACATTTTCCTATCAAAACTTTTACAAAATCCTCATGTGCTTGTCTTTAAGAAAATATATATATATTGTTCAACAAAAAAAAAAAAAAAAAAAAAGAAAAAAAGGAAGGCTTCTTTGTGGCCTTTAGTGACCTAGCTGTGCACAAATCTGGAATGCCAAGTCCTTATTGTGGTTGCTTAAATTTTATTTCCTTTAAATGTGTCGGTAATTTTTGCTAATTCAGTCACCACACGATTATTTGTTTTTAATAAAAAATACGCACATTAACGACATCTTTCATGCTTTTATAGATAAAATTCTAAATTTATTCAAAGAAGCATAGCTTAGCTTAGGGAGAAGGGGGGAAGCGAATAAGTTTCCTCCCCTATAGAATCTAGTATGCACGAGACTAAGACATGTAATCTCTTAGCTCTCATCTCGCTATTCATAACTTTAGGAAGGAATAGAAAAAGAGATGTCCTGATAAACCTATAAAGTGTTAAGCAAATCACCTTAGTAAGTTAACCTCAACCATCTCAATGACCATTTTCCTTAAAAATTACCGTGTTATGAATTAAACCAAATTGACACAAAATCTAAAATTAAGTGTCGAAATAGAATTAATTAAAATGGCAAAAATCAAAATGACACAAACGATAAACTACAGGAACTCCTGATATAATTTGCCCTTATATCGATTACCGCTCAAGTAAAGAATTTATGATGAAATTACAAACCCATCAGCTTGACTCTGAGTGCTGCCCTCCACCCTTCTACCTTATCCGATTCATATTTATTTTTTCTCTCATCGCTTCCCGCATCAACTCGAGCTTCATGCGTGGAAAATGCTTCTTCAACAATCCCCATTTGCTTCCTCACATGGGACGGATCCAAATCATAAAAGACCGGTAAAACTACATGTTTAGATTCCCTCTTGTGCTCGAGGATCATTACAAGCTCGTCAAGACACGAATCTGAATAAACGTAGTCCTTGGAGAACACAATTATCGAACTCCTTGATTGTTTGATTAATGCTCTCTTCAACTCTAACTTACTAGCAAGGTTTAAAAAAGCGGCCGCAACCGTTACGTAACGCCGTTACGTAACAGTTTTGGCAGTTACCGCCACCCGTTACGGCCGCTTTTGCAATGTGATTGAGATTCACAGGTGTGTCGGCCGTAGCGGCTGCCGTAGCGGTCGTAACGGTGCCGTAACAGCAGTAACGGCCTGTTACGCACCGTTACGTAACAGTTCCAAACTGTTTTTTTCAAAAAAACATACAAAAAAAGCTAAAAATTGGGGAAGAGGGATAGAGAGAAGAGGGAAGATAAAAAGAGAAAATGGAGGAGCAAGAGATAAAGAGAGAGAGAAGAGGGAAGATGAAGAACATATTATTGATTTGTTGAAGTTGTAAAACCTATGCTATTCTATTCAGCTGCTATCACTAAACCATTTTGTTTTTGTGTGTCTATCTATATATTGTTTGAAAATAATAATAACAATAAGTGTGGTCATTATCTATTTGGCTTGGTTAAAATATGTATATATATATATATTTAGACTCTTATTTATTTATAGAGGTGATCGGAGAAGGTCCAACGAGTGTCATCACCTCTACTCAAGAACACATGGTAAGTCAACTGAGATGTAGCCATTTACAAAGCTTTAAAAGATCTTTTCAACTGCCAAAAAAAAAAAAAATCAAATCATAAATGAAGAAATATATATAGTTACTCACTCAATCACATAACGAAAAGAAAATAAAAATAAAAATTTGCATGGGTTTCATGTAGTTTTTCAAGTTTACCTGTTTAAATTGGCAATGAATGGTGGTTTCATTTTGGATTTGAGAACTTTCTTTCAAAAGATTAACAATGATAGAAGAGGAATAGGAAGAAGAAAGAGGGAGGAAAGTGAAGGCCGTGTTTGTTAGATAATTTGTAGCAATATAGTAGATGAGAAAAAAGTCAAGAAAATGAAAGAAGTGCATGTGTGGTGGAGGAGAGGGTAGGCATGGAGTATGGACAAAGCTGACTAAGAAAATGGGATTGCGCAAAAGTAGGCTCAAGTCAACTCAGTGAACATAATTTTTTTTCTTTTAACTTTTAGAAAAAAGACTTAAATTAATTTTTTTTTTGAAAAAAAAAAAAAAAATTATGTAAGACAGGTTCAAGCATCCTTCTCAAAGGTTCGGTTGTGATGATGTTTTCGCTCTCCTAAAAAAAAATTCTTCTTAAATTTATAGTCTACCATGTATATGTCAAAATTTTAGAGACAAATTACGCTATATTATTTTAGTCCTTATAATTTTAATTGGTTCGATTTTTATTCTAAATTTATAATTTTATCTAAATTTTATTCAATTTATTATAACTGAACTTTTTTTTATATAAAAAATACGCACATAACTAACTTGTGCCATATTTTCGCGTGTATTTTCAAAATGTATGAACAAAAATGAACTCCTAATTAACACATCCACAGTCGGAATATAGCTAAAGAAACAAAACATCCAAGTTGTCCAACTTTATTCAAACACAACAGCTGGTGTACATCATCAGAGAGTATTCACAACCAACTTTGTTCTCAGTTTCACTACAGGCTTCAAATATCATCAAATTACAAACACATACACAAAACAATCATGAAACCGAACCCATTTTCAGTACATCTCAATCTCTAAGGATGAGCATAATCCATGGGGACATAGGGCTCAAACAACTCAGCAATGAACCCCTTCTTCCTCTTTGGTTTCCAACCCATGTCCTTGCAGAGTTGATCATTGTACCATATATGAAGAGCCCCTATGCATGATCTCCGGTAGTACTTGCCCGAGTATTTTTTCATGTATCGGTCCCATTTTGTTATGTCTTTCTCCATGTCTTTGATGTCGGGGAGCTTGAACGTGCCGGCAAGCAGCTCTGCTAGCCACCGGCACCTCATCTCAGAGGTGTGAAGGTTTGAAATGCTCTCTGAGAATCCAATTATGGCTAGCTGTGGAATCCTGGGATGAATGCATTCCCTGTTGAAAATAACAAGTTGGTATTAATAAACTGTGGCCGAAAAAAATATCATACATACGGTGTGACATTTAATTTGTGTTTTAATTTGGAATTTGAGGAGTAATTTTTTTTTTTAAAAAAAAAAAAGTTAAAAAGGAGCAATACTTTTCATACATTAGGAATTAGATTGGCACAATTTAAAACGGAGGATGTTGATATGGTATGAAAATTTCGTTTGTAACTTCATTTCATCTCCTAAACTATCTCTAAAATATCAATTAGACCCTCAAATTTCATTTTATTGAGGAGTTTAATTGATATTTTGGCAATAGTTTGAGGGGTAAAATGAAATTTTGGTACTACATCAGCAATTTTTATTGGATTACAGACGGTTATTGATAGTGGACTAAAATTAATACAAAACCAAATAATTTAAGTATAATATTGATATTATTAAAAGAATAATTGATTTTTGAGTGGTAGTTTGAGGGTAAAATGAATTTTTCTCTAAAAAATGCTATATGTTGTAAGATGCAAACCTATAGAGTGAGACTGTTTTGTGAGGGGACCCAACTAGTTGTTCTTGAAAGGTTTGGGAGGCAAAAATGTCTTTGAGCTTGTCAAGTCCCCTGAACCCAGTAGCCAGTGTGACCATGTCTGTCTTTAGAGGTTCGACTTCCCCATCAACAAGTATGCCTTGTTTGCAGAATCCGAAACTCGGAGCTTTCTTCAATATGATGCTTCCTTTCTCAACTGCATCGTAGAAGCCCTCAGGGACGGTTGAGATCAAACAAGAACTGATTTCTTTCAAGAAACTGTGTTTGGGAACCATTCCATACTTTGCTAGTCGAAGCTTTCGTTTTATATGGGTTTCAACAAATTTTGAAAATCCCCATCTCTGCCAAACATTAGAAAATTAATATTAGCTTCAGTGTGGGCTCGATTAGAATCTACTATGACCCTACTCTAATGATTCGATATGTTTGTTTTTATATTTCTATGCGTACAATAAAATTAATTTGCTATTTGTCCCCACATTACTCTTGATTCTATTGTTTGTATCAGTATCATCATTCCTTAATTAAAATGATTTTTCCCTATATTTGCCTTCAATCTTTTTGATTAATATAGTATTTATTAACATATTATAGGTATAGTATTAACAATTATAAGATTAATCTAATTTAATCATGAACAATCTGCACAAAGGCTTACAAATGAGCAAATCCAATTATCAAAATGAGGGTCGCGATAAGCCCACAAGGCCAACTGTATGTTGCAGCTCACCAAGGTGAATTGGAGGCAAGTTGCTCTCTTAGCTTATATGGAAACTATGCACTCAAAAATAAAAAAGAAAAACTAGAGAAAGTGTCTAAAATAAAACGCATCAACCAGATTATCCAGATTCATTTTAGATGTAGTATGAAACTAAACCAAATTTGAATCTACGAGACATAAAAGTATACTTTTGTAGACATTTTTTTAAATGCATAGCTTTTCTGAGGAGCGATTCTATACCAGAGGTGAAAGCAATGTAGCCAGGAGAGTAAGGAAAAATCCTTCACCAGGCTTATGAACCAAAAGTTCAGAGAAGCGATTGAAGTAGAAATATGCAAGTGAGACTCCCCATGGATTGTAATCAGGCACATTCCAGTGTTCATTCCTGTATAACACTGTACATGGATTTTCCACCCCTGCAATCAATTCCACAAAAACATGAATTTAAATTAAGTGTGGACTGACAAGCACAATCCCTTTTCACAAACATGAATTTTTTTGTGGTAGGTCTCTCTCTCACCATTTTGTAAAGAGCACTCCATTGCAATGTCAAGAGCATGTTTTTGGAAGCCAACAACAGTGACTCTCTTTCCTCTTATAAGTTGTTTAGCAGCTTCAAAATCCATGGTAGCATACTCCATTGAGTGTATCACCTTCCCATCAAACACTTCTGGACCCTTCCCTTCTGGAAATTCTGGTATGTTTGGTATCCCACTGAACCTTCCCACACATAGGATCATAAAATCGAATTGATGAACCTGTATGTATTATGGCCTCTTTAAAAATGTGCCATTTATGGCGAGTTAAATACACCCAAAATATATATATTTATAACTTTTTATTTTTATCTTAAGTTGTTCGTTAAAATTTACACTAATTTAATCTAAGGAAAAAAGGAAAGAGGATCACCCAATGTCTCACACGAGGCTTGAATTTGCGACTTCCATTATGGAAGTTAGAGAGCATACCACTGTGACACAAAGCCATGATACAGATCTTTCATGGAGTGACTCTACAAGAAGAAGATTAAATCTAGATCTTTCATTTCAAATTCTGGAGCATTTTCTGGTTACTAGTTCATAGACTTTTCCAAATGATAATGCTAACATGATAGGAAAACAAAGCAAATAAAAACACAAGCTCCCCTCCTTTCGGAGACTTTGGATTGCTAGCAAACATTGAATCCTGGGGTCCATCTAGATGAAAAACAGAGATTAAACAAATCATACACTACAATAATTTTATGGGCAAATTACATTCATAGTTTTTATTTTTATTTTTTTTGCATCATTTTGATTACTATATTTTTAATTAAGAAAATATCATTTTGCCTTCCAAATTTTCACGTGTTTTTCAATTTGACCCCGGATTTCGATTAATATTAATTTTACACCAAAACTTTCAAAATTTTGATCAATTAGGCCACTGCCGTCACATTCCGTCTATAATTAAACGAAATGTGCTAACGTAGCATCAAAGTTCATTTGAAATTTCATTTTACCCCCCAAACTATACCTTAAAAATCAATTTGCCCCCCACATCCGCACATTCCATCTAATTGTAGAAGGATTGTGACGGCAGGAGCCAAATTGATCAAAATTTTGAAAGTTTGGGTGGAACATTGATATTACTTGAAGTTTGACGGTCAAATTGAAAAATGCGTGAAAGTTTGGGAGGTGAAATGATATTTTCTCTTTTTAATTAGCTCAATTTTGCCTCTAAATTTTAAATTTTACGTCAATTTGGTCCAATCGATAATGTCATTAGAATTTTTGATAGAAAATGATCCCCAATTTGGTTGAGATTAACTTACTAAGTTGATCAAATTTATAATTTTGTTTTTAAAAACATGTTGTTCATATACACATTTTTTTTTTATAAAAAAAAATGTTAACAATTGTAATCAATTGAAGTAAATTGAGATAAAGCCATAAATTTGTTGTAAAAAATGAGCCAATTAGAATTACTGAAACCAAAATGACATAGAAACTAAAATATGGAGACTACATGTGTAATTTGCCTTATTTCCATCCTCATTAAAACGGAAAGTCTATGGCACCATCATGAATTTCAGATCAATGGTGTATATTGAAGTTAGTTTTGTGAGTCACACTCTAAGTAAACCCAAACCATTGATTTGAAATTTTAGGACTTTACTGAAGAAAAAGAAATTCTTAAAATTGTAGCATTCACTCTTATTTAAAGTGCAAGAAATAGAACTTAGCAGATAAACCTCAGTGGAAGAACTTTGGGTGTCCTGAACTGTAACACTCCATTTTCCAGACCCAAAGGCTTCACCTGTGCCACCCCAAACCCCCCACCCTTCCATCTCCGCCTCCGCCGCCATCCCTTCATAGTCAATACCGACCACTTTGCAGCCAAATCTGATATGTTCAAGCAGACCAAAGTGACCAGCATAGGACTGAAGGTAGTCAAAGACTTGAGGTTGGGTAGGAAAGACCTCTGTGACTGAGTTGGGCCATGGAAAATCAGAGAACTGATAGAAATGTTTTGGGGTCTGAAGCTTGGTGGTCTCTACTGTCTTGGTCCATACTCCTCCGATGGTGGTCTTGGCCTCAAAGACCACTGGGTGGTAGCCTTTTTCTGGCTACAAGGCCACTTATACCAGCTCCTATAGGAGCTGGTATAAGTGAACTTGCAGGCTACAAGGCCACTTATACCAGCTCCTATAATGCCCACCTTCTTCTCCATTATTGTGCACTAACTTCACAAATACCACTTCCCCCCAAGGCACCTATTAATAGTAGGATAGGCTAAATTAGATCATTGTCTTTTTAATTTGGGCGAAATTTTACTTTCATTTTCATAATTTTAATTTGAATAATTTGTGCATATACTTTAAATTTTGTTGCAATATAGTTCCTCTATTACTTATTGTTAGAATTTTGAACAGAAAAAAACATGTACAAAACTAGAAAGAGCAAAATAGAATAAAAAAGAAACTATAAACATTACCAGTGTAATAATTAAATTATATTATTGGTCCAAGTAATTTCTTTTTAATTCTACTTTGATCCCTCTAAATTTACGTATGATCTTTTTTTCATTATGGAGCATAACAGATGAATTATATTTAAACATAATTGAAAGTGTAAAATTTAAATTGTTTAAATTAAAATCATAAAAACTAAAATTACACTTTGCTTATACTATAACGACTAATGGTATAATTTACCTAATATTAAATTTAAATTTGAAAAAATTTACATTGTACACCTTTAAAAAGAATAAATATATATATATATATATATTGAGGGTAATAATGACACCATTCTGCGGTGTAACCAACCAATAAAAAATCATAAATAGAATTCAATGAACATATCTTACCTCTCATTAATTTAACAATATTATATGGTTTTCACTACAAAGAGAGATTATTCATTAAATAGTGATAAAGTGATATCATCATTGTATTTAAATATTTAAAAAATAAATAAATAAACAAATTATTTGGTGAAATTTCAGAGGGGCTTTTCCCAAATTAAGCCAAATTAGCAACTTATTCTAAAACTAGTCTAATTTGGACGGAATTCCTAAACTGGGCTAAAGCGCTATTACAAAACACGCTTTCACTGTTTCCAGGCCCCTCTCGCGGAAAATTTGTGAAATAGTAAAAGCGTGGTTACAAAGCATGCTTTTAATTAAGAAAACGTGTACAAACTATCATAAAATGTGGTTTCAAACCACACTTTTAAGTAAAATTATTTATTTTTATTTTTTTTTCAGAAAGCGTGGTTTCTAAACCGCTTTCTTAATTAAACTGTGTTGTGAAGAAAGTATGGTTAGAAACCACGCTTTCAATACCACACCAAACACACGCACTCACAAACACACTCTCTCTCTCTCTCTCCTCTCTGACACAAACACACACATGACTCCATACACACTACACTCACACTCAATATATATATAAATTTTAATATATATTTATAATTAATATATATATATAAATTTATTATTTCATAAAATTGAAACAATATTAAATATATATAATAATAATTTATAATAGTAAATAATAATCAATTATATAAAATGATTACTTTTTTATTTTAATTCTTAATTTTTTTTATTTTACTGTTAGGGATAAAATTTATTTATTTTTTATTTTAAGGTTTAAGGTTTAATTCTTAAAATTATTTTTTTTTATTTTAGGGTTTAGGATTTATAAAAAAAAATAAATTTTAAGAATTAAACTATAAATTCTAAACCCTAAAATAAAAATAATAAATTTTAAGAATTAAAACCCTAAACCCTAAAATAAAAATAAAAAATTATCCCTAAACACTAAGGTAGCGTTTGGTAACATTTAAGTTTTTGGCTTATGTTTATAAAAATTTTATAAACTGGTTTATGTTTATTTTTAGAAAAATATAAAATACAAACTTGTTTGGTTTAAACAAAATGTTTAAAAAAAATTTAAAACATAAACTAAAAAATATGTTTGTTCAAGCCTAAAATATTTATATTATATTTATTATTTATGACATTGGGCACACATATTATAAGTGAAAAAAAATTAATTAAAAAAATATTTGAAAAAAATTTAATTGGAAAAACGTGATTTGTAAGAATTATTGAAAAAAAATATTGAAAAAAATGTGGTTTATATTTATTATTTTTGACAATGGGATCACACATATTATAATTGAAAAAAAATTAATTAAAAAAATAATTGCAAAAAAATTTAATTGAAAAAAAATATATTTTTTCAAAAAAAGAAAATTGAAAATTGAAAACGTAAACTCATTTTTTGAGTTTACGGTTTCTCAAATTTATAAACTGAGACAACCATTTATAAACCAACGATTTTTCCAAAAAAAAAAAATCAATAATTTTTACAAACCACGTTTTTTCCAATTAAATTTTTTTCACATATTTTTTTTTAATTAATTTTTTTCAATTATAATATGTGTGATCCCATTGTCATAAATAATAAATATAAATATAAATATTTTAGGCTTGAACAAACATATTTTTGTTTTAAATTTTTTTAAACATTGTTCAAACCAACACGTTTGTAATTTATGTTTTTAAAAATAAATAGAAACTAGTTTATAAAATTTATAAACATAAACCAAAAACGTAAATGTTACCAAACGCTACCTTAGTGTTTAGGAATAAAATTTATTTTTTTTTTATTTTAGGGTTTAGGGTTTAATTCTTAAAACTTATTTATTTTTATTTTAGGGTTTAGGATTTAGAGTTTACAATTTATAGTTTAATTCTTAAAATTTATTTTTTTTTATAAATCCTAAACCCTAAAATAAAAAAAAAAAAATTTAAGAATTAAACCTTAAACCCTAAAATAAAATAAAAAAATTATCTCTAGACAGTAAAATAAAAAAATTAAGAATTAAAATAAAAAGTAATCATTTTATATAGTTGATTATTATTTGCTATTATAAATTATTATATATATATTTTAATATTGGTTCCAATTTTATGAAATAAAAAATATATATATATATATATATTAAATTATAAATATATATTAAAATTTATATATATATATTGAGTGTGAGTGCGTGAGTCATGTGTGTGTTTGTGTCTGAGAGAGAGAGAGAGAGAGAGAGAGAGAGAGAGGAGTGAGTGTGTGTTTGGTGAGTGGTGGTGTTTGGTGTAGTATTGAAAGCGTGGTTTCTAACCACGTTTTCTTCACAATACAGTTTAATTAAGAAAGCGTGGTTAGAAATCACGTTTTTGAAAATATATATATATATATATATTTTATTTAAAAGCGTGGTTTGAAATCACGTTTTATGATTAACTTAAAAGCGTGGTTTGTAACCACGTCTTCTTAATTAAAAGCGTGATTTGTAACCACCTTTTACTATTACAAATTTTTCACGGGAGGGGCCTGGAAACAGTGAAAGCTGGTTTGGAATAGCGCTTTAGCCGAGTTTGGGAATTTCGTCCAAACTATACATAGTTTGGGAAATAAGTTGCTAATTTTGGCTTAATTTAGGAAAAGCCCCTTTCGGATGTTTATGATATGTCATGTCAATTTATAGTAAAAGTTATGTAGTTGAGAGGTAATTTTTGTGAAAATTGGGCCGAGCTATGAGAAGGACTTTATGGCTCACAGTGTGAAGGACTGGGTTAAAGACCGAAAAGTTACTTCGGCCCAAGAGAGATTAAGTTACTTCGGCTCAAGAATTGTAAAACTACTTCGGTCCGGGCAATTTGGAGCTAGGCCGGTCTCAGAGTTAGTCCGGTGATGATGTATTCTAGTAGATCGTCTAGCGGTACCTTTGAGTTAGACCGGTCTTGGAGTTATACCGGTCGCGATTTGTTAGTTTGGTCCAACCATGCCATGTGTGTGCATGAGAAGCCGACGTAAGAGAAAGTGAAAGGAAGAACTAGTTCGGCTTATTCTGCGGCTATACATAGCCGGGTACTTCGGTCAATGGTAGTTCGGCCATGGTAAAAACCATCCCACTTGGTTTAAGCAGGGGGGGGTGTAAAAGGATAAGCATTATCCTTTAGGAGTATGAATCCTAGGAGGACTCTGCATGGAGGAGTAAAAGTCCTACTAGATTGTGCCACTCGAAACCTATAAAAGCTCATGAACATCACCTTGGAGGAGGTAACACAACACACAATTTTCTTTCTGAATACAAAGAGCTTTGTCTATTTGTCAAGTTTGCTGACTTAGGCATCGGAGAGGTTTCCGGCACACACCCGCGGCTAGCTCACGTCTGTGTTTTCAGGTGACAAAGCGACGCCGTACGGAGGAGCACAAGACTTAGTCAACAGGATTATAGAGATAATTATTTCTTTTCCTACAATTGGCGCCGTCTGTGGGAATAACAGACAGAACAAAAACCCTTGATTAAAGCTTCTCCCTTTACAATCAATGGCACACATTGAAGAATTGCCGCAGTCCGCCGTCGACGGCTAACTCGAGATGGAGGGCAAGGCGTGAAGGATTACCTTTCTATCCCTCCATGGCGGACTTGGAGTCCCAACGACATAACTTCAGGAGAGATACTTGGGAAGACGGACTCACAACCCCCGTCAATCTCTTCTCAAAGTCCTGACAGGCAAAGGCGGAGGATTGACCCTAAGCTCTGGAAGATCGCGTGAAAGAGCAAGATGAATTGATAAGAAAGATGGCGGCGGACATGGAGGCCTTGAAACGCAGATGAAGAAAAAAAGAAGTGGCGACAGGAGAGGGGCGCAAAAACAAGACGCCCCTTCCACTCAGAAAATCGTAGTAGGAATACTACACCCTCGCAAGGAGAGAGCAGAAGCCTCAGGACAGGCGACACTCAATCCTAGTCTTCCAGAACTCGCCACTCCAGGTCTATGAGAGGACGAGATCTGAAAGATCATACACTGAAGGAAGCAGTATTGGCCCTCGCATTCGCACCAAACTAGATCTAGACAGACGAATTACCAAGATCATCCGACTTACGAACCGTGCTCGAAGAGAAAGCACGATGCAGGAGGATGCCAGGGCGCGGGATTCGCACAGAGTTTCTGCCTTACAGCGGTTGGCTCCTCGGATGCATGGAAGCGTTAGGTTGGAATGCCAATACCGCGCCCTGCCTACGAACCAAGGACAAGGCATTAGCAAGGCTACAGACTTCACCGTTTGTTCCGGCGATTGAAAACGCGCCCCTACCATCAGGCTTCCTTCAGCCAAAATTCACTACATATGAAG